TCTGTTTCTCTTCTAAATATTTGGAATTATTGAACACTTAGTATCAGCACATAGGGTGTTATTAGAATTAAATCCCATAATATGTTATTACAGTGCTCTGTAAAATCTTATTGAGCACATAGTACCTGCTTAATAAACATTTTATTACTACGGGTGTACATGTTGTTTTCTAAATTCAGATTTATGGCCCATTGGGGTGGTTTATACTAGTAATCCCAATGCTTTGGGAGGCTGAGGAGGGCTGACCATTTGAGGTCAAGAGTTTGAGACCACCCTGACCAACATGGTGAAACCCCATCTCTATTAAAAATGCAACAACAACAAAAAATTAGCCAGGCGTGGTGGCACACACCTATAGTCCCAGCTACTTGGGCGGCTAAGGCTGGAGAATCACTTGAACCTGAAAAGCAGAAGTTGCAGTAAGCACAGATCTCTCCATTGCACTCCAGCTTGGGTAGTAGAGCGAGACTCTGTCTAAATAATGAATAAATAAATGCAGACTTAGATACTGTTGCTGTCTGTTTTCTCTGTAAACTTTAAAAAGCCAGCAAAGATGATGATACTTTAAAATGGAGATTTGTTGTCTTAATTTGTGCCAGAAGTATTTGTGTTGTCACAAGAGTGCCAAATGCAGGAGACTGTGCTGTGCCTGCTTTCTCTAAGTAATGCTAATAATGAGCCCGGGGGAGCAACATCAGCATTGACAGGGGACTTCTTCAACACCCATTCATGGACCCTCTCCAAACCTGTAGAATCACACCACATAGAGTGGGACCAACATTACTGAATCATTTATAAGCTCATTAAAGCTTGAGAGGCAATGTTTAGTTAAGTGGTTATAAGCCCAGGCTGCTATTTAGAATCACGTGGCTAATTTGCAGAAATCTCTTTCCTGGTGCTCTTCCTGTCACAGGTTCTGATTAATGTTCTGGGTGGAAGCATTCGTGCTGTTTTAATTAACTGTCTCATGTGACTCTAAGTTGCGGCCAGAATCAAGTACAGGGGGTTCAAGATACATTTGTGAGAGTTAAGTTTCACCTGTGCGCTTAAAAGGGTGGTCCTAGAGCCTCTTTTCTTTGGGTTTCATAGGGACAGGGCAGTCTGGCTCATATTTTCATTATTGTAGCAGAAATTACTGGCAGGAGAGGGCGCCTGAGGACAGGAAAAAATAAACTTATATTTTGTTGTCTGTGGAGCAGCTTATTTTTCCTGAATCTCTTCTGTTGCAAGTATAGAAATGGGTGGAGTTTTTCTGTTTTGGTTGTTCTGCCTGTGGATGTGGTGTTAGCAGGTAAACATGGTACTGACACTTTTCAAGGCATATTCTCAAGATGTAGGTGTAATTTGTCCAGATAATCTTATCTGAGAAGAAATCCTAGAGAAGAAGGATAAAGAGAAAAAAATGGCTTTCTTAATAATGATTTTTTTTTTTAGACGGAGTTTTGCTCTTGTTGCCCAGGCTGGAGTGCAATGGTACGATTTCAGCTCACTGCAACCTTCGACTCTGGGATTCAAGTGATTCTGCTGCCTCAGCCTCCCAAGTAGCTGGGATTACAGGCTACCACACTCAGCTAGTTTTTTGTAGTTTTACTAGAGACAGGGTTTCTCCATGTTGGTCAGGCTGATCTCGAACTTTTGTCTGCCTCAGTCTCCCAAAGTCCTGGAATGACAGGTGTGAGCCACCCTGCCTGGCAATGATGAAATATTGAATACTTATTTTTAAGTTCTAGGATACGTGTGCAGCATGTGCAGGTTTATTACATACATATATGTGTGCCATGGTGGTTTGCTGTACATATTGACCCATCCTCCAGGTACCTTCCTTTTTCTCCTCACTTCAAAACAGGCCCTAGTGTGTGGTGTTCCCCTCCCTGTGTCCATGTGTTCTCATTGTTCAGCTCCCACTTACAAGTGAGAACATGTGGTTTTTGGTTTTCTATCACTGTGTTAATTTGCTGCGGATGATGACTTCCAGCTTAATCCATGTTCCTGCAAAGGACACGATCTTATTTCTTTTTATGGCTGCATGGTATGCCATGGTGTATATGTACCACATTGTATTTATCCAGTCTGTTATTGATAGGCATTTGGGTTGGTTTCATTTGTTTGCTATTGTAAATAGTGCTGCAATAAACTATTACGTAAGTGTGCATGTGTCTTTATAGTAGAATGATGTATATGGCTTTGAGTATATTCCCAGTAATGGGATTGCTGGGTGAATATTTCTAGTTCTAGATTCTTGACGAATCACCACAGTGTCCTCCATGATGATTGAACTAATATACATTTTCACCAACAGTGTAAAAGCATTCCTGTTTCTCCACAGCCTCACCAGCATCTATTGTTTCTGACTTTTTAATAATCACCATTCTGAGTGGTGTGTTTGTTGGCTGCATAAATGTCTTCTGAGAAGTGTCTGTTCATCTTTTGCCTACTTTTTGATGAGATTGTTTGTCTTTTTCTTGTAATTTTTTTTAATGTTTCGTGTAAATTCTGAATATTTTGTCAGTTGGATATATTGCAAAAGTTTTCTCCCATTGTATAGGTTGCCTGTTCACTCTGATGACAGTGTCTTGTATTTCCTAGGTTTTCTTTTTCTTTTTTTTTTTCTTTTTTGAGATGGAGTTTCGCTCTTGTTGCCCAGGCTAGAGTGCAATGATGTGATATTGGCTCACTGCGACCTCTGCCTTTTGGGTTCAAACAATTCTCCTGCCTCAGCCTCCCAAGTAGTTGGGATTACAGGCATGCTCCACCATGCCTGGCTAATTTTTTGTATTTTTAGTAGGGACAGGGTTTCTCCATGTTGGTAAGGCTGGCCACAAATTCCCGACCTCAGGTGATTTGCCCACCTCAGCCTCTTAAAGTGCTGGGATTACAGGCGTTAGCCACCACACCAGGCCTACTTGGTTTTCTTTTAGGGTTTTTATGGTTTTGGGTTTTACATTTAAGACTTTAATTCATCTTGAGTACATTTTTGTAGAAGATGTAAGGAAGAGATCCAGTTTTACTGTATATGGCTAGTCAGTTTCCTCAGCACTATTTATTGAATGGAAAATCCTTTCTCCATTGCTTGTTTTTGTCCAGTTTGTTGAATATCAGTTGGTTATAAATATGTGGTGTTATTTCTGAGGTCTCTTTTTTGTTTTATTGATCTGTATGTTTGTTTTTGTACCAGTACCGTGCTGTTTTGGTTACTGTAGCCTTGTAGTATAGCTTGAAGTCAGGTAGAGTGATGCTTTCATCTTTGTTCTTTTTGCTTAGGATTGTCTTGGCTATACAGGCTCTTTTTTGGTTACATGTAAACTTTAAAGTAGTTTCTTTTTTTTAATTCTGTGAAGAATTCGTCAGTAGTGATTTTATGAAAATAGCATTGAATCCATACTTTGTGCAGTATGACTGCTTTTATTATGTTTTAATTTGTTATTATGTTGATTCTTTCTTTATTCTTCTTCTTTTTTTTCTCTTTTTTTGAGACAGTGTTTTCTCTTGTTGTTCAGGCTGGAATGCAGTGGCATGATCTCAGCTCACTGCAACCTCCGCCTCCTGGGTTCAAGCAATTCAAGTGATTCTCCTGCCTTAGCCTCCCAAGTAGCTGGGATTATAGGCATGCACCACCGTACCTGGTAATTTT